ACTTCCACTGACCATCAAGAATAGGATGCGCAATACTTCATTTCTTGTGACACAGCTAGAGGCTCGATATATCAACAATATATCAATATATTATCACCACAAAAGTTGATTAACACAAAAAAAATAAAATGAGCAAGAAATTTTTACTACTGTCGGAGAAATGTCGGAGAAATTGAGAGACAATTTGAAAAAGAATTTCAAAGAATATAGCCATTCACTTTGTAACTCTTGATCTCACGAACAACGTACTAAAATTTCAACCGATTCCGACAGATTTTACCATCAAAACCTCGGTCTCTCTCCTTTTTTTTTTTTTTTTTCCTTTTTCTACTATCTCCCCTGCCTGTTTAGCCCTCTCCTCTTACTTTTGTGTGAGTTTTTTTTCATGACGATGAGCTGGGCCACATGAGGAGAACCTAGCCCAGCGCTATACGGGGGTGCGATTATCCCAAAATGCCCAAAATCCCTCTTTGGTCTGTGTCACGATCCAGATCAAAACATGCACACATCCCATTAGGTTCGTGCATCGTGGAACCCCGAAACGAATCGAACCGTGGACACTCTCACTCAAAGACCAAACCAGACACGCCCATCTTTCTACTTCTTCAGTCCTCGAGAAATTGAGAACTTGTACCGGTTCAACTTTCTTTGACAGCCCTAAATTACACAGTGATGTATGAGAATAATCGGTTCAATTCACTGTCACATTCTTTTCCTCTCTATAACTGCGCTATGTCTACTCTTAGGAGCCCGGTCGAAAACAACTTTCCAAACTTTCAATAAATATACCTGAGCCAAAAATTTGAAGCCTAATCGAGTGGCTTTTGCATGAAATATGCATTTTGTTTTCCATTTCATCATTATTCATGGCGGGACTTGATAGTGGGAAAGTGCTTGTACTAGTAAGCTATTAATATTCAACAATGCGCGTATATGCATGTGCAAAAATAGAAGCTCCTCCTCCATTTGATTTGAAGAAGAAAGGGATGTTCTGCTCCAGCTCGGACAAAATCTCTCATACACACTCTCCTCCTTTCTTCTTGGAACAGCGAAGATCGTTGCCGATGGACCGGAGTAAAGTTCGACCGAGCAAATGGACATGTCGGACATGTCGTCATCCTCCATGTTGAAATGCTTGATGTAAGCATAATCTCAATGTTTTACTCGAATCGAAGCTTCAAATAAAAAGATGAAATGGCTCGGTAACGAAGACTTCGTCACAAGAGATGAAGGCTGAAGCTGACCACTTAGATTTATTTTTTTTTTCGTGGCGTTTGTTTCTTTTACTAGGTCAGAGCTTAAATCATACAATAATGTACATCAATCTTCCCCCACACTTGAAGACACTTATGAGTTACTCTAGCATGTAACATACAACAGAAAGAAATGAGAAAGAATGAGAGCTGGGGAATCCGTCGTTAAGTAGATAAGATCTCCAGATCTGCTTAGCCATCACCATCATACCGTCGAAGTTGAGCAGGAGACAGTGAAGCTGTTTAAGAAACTTTGCAGTACCTCAAACTTTTTTACAGACCAAGTTGACCTATAGCCAAGGCCAGCAGTAAAGTCACCACCCAAGCTACTGTCTTCTTTAATTGAATCAGCAACACGATTGGCTGGTCTCATCTCCATGAATCTCACCTGAAAATAACAGTGGAATGTAGGACCTGCCATAGCCATGAATTACATCAATGGAAACAGGGCATGCAACAACAATTTTGCAGGTCAGATAACTGCGAAAAGACGGCAAGGAAATTACTTCGAAATTTTTAGTCTCTTTCTAATTTTCAAAAGAAGGCACGTGAGAACAGTCTATATATCACATTTTATGAATTCAATCTTATAGCAAGTCGCGAGCAGACACAGCAGCATTCTCGAATGGAATTGGCGAATATAATACAGGAACGTCCACCCCAGTCAGCAACGTCAAGAAAGGTCTGCCAAAACCTTTGATTTCAGGACCCGTGACAAGAAAATTTTAAGTACTGAAAACAATTAATAGATGCCTTTCGGATAGATGGGGCATATGCTGACACACAGGCCTAAACTTAACTATAATTTAACAATAAGTTATAGAGACCAAGGACATCTTTATATGAACTGAAAGCTAGCAAAGCTTGTGGGGCATCAACAATGTTGAATATTGAACTGGGCAATCGAGTCTGTTATTTCGGCATAGAACAAAAGGTAGGTTAAAACCCTTTAAGATGATATATACTATAACTCACATTAATGCCACTTGTAGTGAAGAGTTGGACTTGTCTTTGAAAATTACAACACAAGACAAGGTTTTGGCAGGTTTTCAACCATGGCCCCAGTTGAATGCGAGAACTAAATATGCCAATGTGACATGAAGAAATTATACTCGTTCAAGTTGTAAAGGCTCAACTCAATGAAAGAACAAATAATGGCAAATGAATCCCTCCATAAATCAGCTCTAAATGAGAGGCTCTGGAAAGAATTACTGAGATTCTGTTCGCTCGTTTCACGACGAGGAATACCTTTCACCTAAACTTTGATTTTCGGTTTTTATTAAGATAGGTTATGTGGCTTGATTTCTAGGAGAGTTGTGGGAAAAAAAAAAAACAGAGTGTGGCACAGGATTATATGGAACGGATAGAATTCGAATGGATTGAAAATGGATCTGAGATCAATAAAGTTCCAAGCTACGTTACAATACTCCTATGGAAGCTGTAAAGGACTTGAAAGTTAACTAAAGTTGCAGGAAGTTGTAAACGCAGGAAGTAAAGGTACAGAGAAAACTAAAGTGCAGATAAGCTTGAGTGTTTTTGCATTGTTCTTGATCCTCCTTCCTCCTTCTTTCTTCTAAGTATTTGTATCTCCTCATATCCTGTAACTGCTTGTCGGTTACTTCTATGTTTTCAAACTTTGAATATTGGCGCTTCCAATAACTGCCTTATCTAACCACGTTTTTCAATTTCATTATCCGCCAAAACTTGATCTCAACCACTGGGACGACTTCAAATTTGGACAAGTAACTCCCCACGATCTGCTCGTGCTCATCATCTCCGCTTTTTACTCATAACTTCCTGCTATCATGATTCACGTGGCTGGGCCGTGATTCATCTTTACCGATTTTCTGTAATTTCGGTATATTCCCGAAGTATAGACTTCCCGAATTTCGGGAAAGAGTCAACGTCCCGAGGCATAATGGCTCCAATGCTCTTTTTTTTTTACAAACTCCCGAACTATGACTTTCCATGTTTCGGTAAATATCCCGATCTTCACCAATTACCGAATTCGGGATATGATGCCATTCACGCTTGCTTCCCAGCATGTTTCCGAATTTTATCCAAACGTATTTCGGAAGATGGCTGATTTCCATTATACACCAGATTCGGCATTAAAGCCGACTCAGCGTCTATGCTGATTATTATTTTAGTGTCAACAGATTCAAGTGACCATGGACAGCTCTTCGCCCTAGTGCTCTCACTTGCGATGAAAACAATCTACCGAAAGCGCAAATATCACCTCCCTGGCCTAAAACCATGCTTCTCTATCTCTGGAAGCCCAACCAGATCTTCTGTAGCAAGTTGTACCACCTCAGAAGGGCATAGAGAAACAAGAAGCCTGATCATCAACGGACAACCAAAAAGCCACGCATTACTCCTTAGAGAAAGGAAGTTTAAGAAAAGGGACGAATTTTGTAAGTGCAACAACAGCCGGAAGTAATTGAGCTTCATCATTCACAATGATAGTTTGAGCAACATGACAGAGAAGACCTCCAATAGCTGAAATTCTTTTCTTTCTTTTGTTTTTTTTAAGGAAAAAATGGTTATCAGATAGGGAAAGTAAACGTAAACTACAAGTACAGACCATGATCATGTCGAAATGGGTCATACGTGGAACCCTCTTCTGATGTAAAGATGAACAGGGCATTTACCAAATTAATGAGCAATTTGCAATCAAGCCAGGTATTTGGCTAACAAAATATGTAATATCTTGGTTAAAATGCTTACAACAGGACAACGATGCCTCCTGGGAGCTGAACTTGCACTGTTTTGATGGATTCGCCATCAATATTCATGATTAAGAATCTAAGAGAACTAGTAGTAAACCTATTGCAGCACCTGAATGAATCATTTGAGCATTTAATAATCTGATCCATCTATGGGGGGTGACTTCTTTACGATGTAGACACTTGCAAGCATGAGATGAATGATTGATGGAAAGATATCGGTTAAAAATTACCAAGATTTCGTAGAGTGTCAATCTAACTAAACATGGTATTTACTTATTTGGTCTATATTTAACGGCGGGTCGTTTTGATATGATAAGTTAAAATCCATCACATTAAACCAACAAAAAGAAAAACACTAGATGCTTTTAGCTTTCTTTTTGGATGGAATAAGTATCCTTTCTTTTGATACCTATAAAGTGTTGAACTTTATTTTAAATAATGACATATTACTCAATTGCCATTCGGCTTTACGAATCCCAACGAAATCCAATTTCTTTATGAAATCCTATTTTTTTTCCTTAATTTCAAGACATTAGCTATTATCAATCTTTAGACCAATTCATGGTACGAGTGGCAGGATGCTTCGTGCCCATCATGAATTTTGGATTTGGTGAACGGGGGAGGAAGCTGCTATCTTTTTCTTGGATATACTTACACTTTTGCCCCCCTCAAAATGTTCAGCCAATCTTCTTGAGGATGAAGCGGTCATCCCACACGTAGTCTGCCCAACAATTTCATAGAAAAAGAGGGGAGTGTCAACAAATCCAAATCCAAATCCAATAGGGAGGCAAACAAACAAACTCTAAAAAGGGGGATTCATATCAATTCACAAAAGAATCCCAAAAATAGAAATTTAAAAGACAAGCTTTGAAAATTCAGCACACACCACACCCCCAACATTTAAAATTTAAGAAAAAGGAAAAAAAAACGCGTTCTCATTTTCTTTCTTTTTTTTATTTTTATTTTTGGGGGGCTGGGGGTGTTTTGGTTGTGAAATCCGAGCAATTAAAATTAGGTAAACAACACAGATCATCGTGTGCCGAAAAAGGGAAGCCGGAGATAATAAGGATCATCAGGAACGATGTCTTAATGGCAAATCAAAATCTTGTTCCTGCTCTAATCCAATCCAAACCATCCGATTTCCATCTTCCGCTTCGCTGTTCCTTCCAACGACAAACGCCAACCCCGCCCTATTTTTTCGGCTGTTTCTCTCTCAACTGTAACAACGACACGACACGCCCATCGAGGCAGAAGCTCCAAGAACAGCAAGACACTATTCAAGAAAATCTTTAGGGTTTCTCAATTCTCTCTCTCTCTCTCTCTCCCTCTCCCTGGGTCCATCTTCCTTCCCTCCAAAACACTGGGGTCCTTCCCGCTGAATGCCCATTTTCTTGTTTTTTTTTTTCCCGAGAAAGCGGTGGAAAATCTCTTCTTTCTTCCTTTCGCGGGCATTCTTGTTGGGCTGCGGCGTGAAGATTCATCTGGGTTTTCTCGGATCACGTTGTCGCGGGAAGAATTCCACCTCCATTTGTCAGCTCTTTGCCGAGGGGGGGCGAGGTTCTTGTTTCCTTCATCTGGGTCCGTTTTTGGCGTCCGCTTCGGAGATTATCGGCTTGCGGGTACGGCTTCTTGTTTTTCTCTCCTGAAAAAGATTTGAATTTGAGCTTCTCTTTCCGTCGTCAGAAGGTTTTCATCGCAAAAAAGATTAGTTTTGAGCGCGAGGCAAGAAATGGTTTTGAAATCGCATGTAGTTTGAGCTCGGGAAAAGGACTGCTTTTTGTCATATGTGTATCATGATCTCGTGAAAAATGCTGGCGCTGATCTTTTCCTCTTAATATATCGAACGCTTGATTGGTTGTTTTGCTAATTATGACTGATCTCCAAAGGGTTTCTGTGGCATTATGTAGATCTGAGAGGAATTGCTGGTAGGTGGAGCTAAAGAGGGAAGGAAAATTGTCGCTGACGAATCTAGAATCGAGAGAGGTGAATTTGGAGAGATCCATTGCTCTGAATAATTTGTTTTGGATTGCGAGGTGAAGTAGTTGGGAAGAATTTGAAATACTTTTGGGGTTTAATGCTCCAAGTTTATGGAGTCAGATGCGCTAATACCTCTGACAGATTTAGCCCAATGTTGTAGCTGCGGGTGTAGTTGCTCTTCGTTGGGCCCTTATTCTGGAACTTGGCTTCGTTCGGTGAAACGAAAATATGATGAGTATGAAGATGGCAATAGATTCTTTGTGCCTGCGTTGGAAATCGCATCTGTGGCCAGGGTGCAAGCAGAGAATGAGATTATTGCGCTGCGTGAAATGGTTGGCAATCAACAGCAGGTAATAGAAGAGTTGTCTGCTGAACTGGATGAGGAGAGGAATGCCTCTTCGTCAGCTGCAAATGAGGCCATGTCCATGATTTTGAGGTTGCAGAGGGAGAAGGCGGAGATCCAAATGGAAGCTCGGCAATTCAAGCGTTTCGCAGAGGAGAAGATGGGACATGATCAGCAGGAGCTGACAGCACTGGAGGAATTGTTGTACAAGAGAGAGCAAGCAATTCAATCCCTGACGTGTGAAGTGCAGGCTTACAAGCATAGAATGATGAGTTATGGACTTACTGAGGCAGAGGCGGATGGTGAGAGGAGTCGTGGGTATAGCCGGAGCCAGAGCATGCTTGAGAACTTTGATGGTCCATTGGAATATCATCCATATGATTATCCTCCCTTGAGATGCAATTTAAATGAGAATTATGGTCCTTTAGAAGGTGAGAATGATGACACTGATGTTGAGAAATATCCATTTGGCGAGACCCCTCGTGGTCAGGAGGATTTGAGGGACTTGGAGCATAGAATTTGCCAAATGGAGAGAAGTACTAGCAATGATCAGTTGGATGGCAATCTCCCTGGTGCAAAAAACACCTTAGAGAAGGTCATGGTTGGTCAATCTCCTCGAAGGCCAAGGCACCTGAGGAGGTTTTCCAATGACAGTTCAAGTTCCTTTCTAGGATTGGGAAGGGATAGTGGTTCTGAGTTGGCTAAGGATTCTCCCCGACCCAACATTAGCATCAAGAGAATGGAGTATATATCTCGAAAAGAGGATTACTCTAACTTGAGAACGCTGGACAGAACATCAGAACCTGGAGATGACATGAGTGATAGAATTTATACCATCGACTCTGTTCATAATGGTATGACACAGCCCAAACCAGTAGTTGGGATCTGTGATGATTATATGACTACTCCGCGGGAATCGACGAATCCAGCTGAAATTGGAGATCCGGATATTATGAAGCTCTATATGAGGCTTCAGGCACTTGAGGCCGACAGGGAATCGATGAGGCAGGCAATCATTTCAATGCGTACGGATAAAGCGCAGCTGGTATTATTGAAAGAAATAGCTCAACATTTGTGCAAGGAAATGTCTCCGGAAAGAAGGATGCCTGTGGCAAAGCCATCGGTCCTTAAAACCTTTTCTTTTATGTCAATTTTTAAGGTAGGCTGCTCTCTGCATACACGAATGGTGTGCTCATATCATGACTAATTTCTTTGATTAGTCATCTGTTCAATAGTTGTTACTTCAGGCTTAGTTATTTCTATTCATCCAACTGGAATAGGTATAATAGCTTGACCTTTAAGATATCTCCATATGTCCCTTCATGCATCTACAAGATGATAGTTTCACCAACATGTCACTTTTGGGCATCCATGTTCATTGCTTTTTGCTTAAACTAGAATGAGCTTAAAAAAATCAATGCTCAAAAGTTTTAGCATTATCATTAGATACATATGGGTTTTGCTTGAATGTCGCCGCATATCCTGAATGTTTTCCTCTTTCAATTTATCCAGTGGATTGTGTCCTTTGTCTTTTGGAGGAAGAAGGCTCGTAGAAGCAAGTGAGTTGTTTTCTAGTCCTGCACTCTTATTTGAATTGGCTGTCTTTCTTTCCAGCAGCTTTCCTCTTCTTTGTATCCTTCAGTTGCACTGAGCAGAGCTCAAATTAGTTACCAATTTCCTGGAGTTTCTGATCATGTTATGTCGGTAAACTGATGAATGATTTGGACTGAACTTCCAAGGATCATTATTTTTTAAATATACGATATAGCGCGGAGGACATGGCAGAAATGGCTTTATGTGATCGGACAACTAACTCTTTACGTCATTTCTTTTCTTATTTGTTGCTTTTGTTTTGAACACCTCCTAAAGTTGAGAAGTATCCTGTCAACTACATTTTACATGAATGGAGAGATGTGATTGCAGAACTACCCCCTGACTGGGTATTAATTTTGAGATGCATAGTGCAGCTCATGTGATGCATGGAAAACTTCCACATTAGAAAAGAATTCACTGAAGAACTCAATTAACTATACTGTGATATAGTGAAACATGGAAAAAGAAAGTCTTTACCAGGGAGCAGCAAATACGAGGGACCTTGGCATGACATGTAGGAAAAGTAAATAGTAGTGTTAATTGAACCCTGAAGACAGTAACGTAATTAGGAAAAAGTGAATAGTAGTGATTCGTACATTGTTTAGTTGAGGCTTGAAGACAGTAATGTAATTATGCACTGATGCTATTGATTAAGGGCAGCAGAATAATGATATTTCATTTTAGAAAGCTGTGTTTTGTACAATCTAATTTTTTTTTTCTTTTTCCCCGCTTGCTTATGGAGCCTTTGTTATAATCATCCGGCTAAATACAACAATTGTTGCACTATGTGAAGTCTCATGTTTCAAACCCAGATCACTGATATTAGTCCTGCATAACATTCCGTTGCAGGTATATGTTTGGATTAGCAGCAAGCAATATCGGTTTGCTGTTGGCTTTGGATAAAAGTCCCCGAATCAGGCTGGGGAGATGTCTTACAAGTACGCAAGTTTGAAAGCAGTTTTTGAAGTTTTTCTACGTATTGCAAGCTTGTGCTCATATATGGGAAGTGGATTTAGTAAGTCTGCTTTCTAGTATTTGCTCTCTATTCATGGCTTCCTTCTTCATGCTGAAATTGGATGGCTTTGTGCGGTGTTAGTTTGTATTATTTTTTCGAGATCTAAAGATTGAGTTGCTGCTTGGTGAGTGAATCACATATACTGCGTAAGCACACGCTTGCCCATATGATTTGTTGGATTTCAACACCGAGGTACCATTCTATGGTACTCCTCCCTGTACATTGCTTATTCTTGTAACATTTCCACTTAAATGTGCAGTGCCTGTATTCTTTTTCCCCATCACATAGCTAGTCTATACTTTCAGTGTTCTCATTTGAGGGTTCATATTGTATATATTTGTCAGTTTTTATTGAAATGTCTGATTTCGAATCTTTTTTAGGACCCTTTAATTTTGGTTCCGTACTATCTAGTCGTTCAATGTGTTCTCGTGTGCATATATGAGATGCAAAAGCTGGGGATTGCGATGAACAAATTTCGGGCAGTCCAGCTGGGAAAATTCTCCATAGCGACATTCTTTTTATTTGTCATTTTGAGAAGGATAATACTGCTACATAAACTTCTCAGTTCAGTGGAAGGAAACGGATGTGGTACTTTGTGTGTTCTTACTTCTAGCATATTTGCATTTTGATAGAGACTTGGAGAGATTAGTGGATATTGGGAATGCTTCAACTGTGAACGGGGATTCTTGGAAGAGAAACTAGATATTTAGACTTGCTGCTTTCATGAGGGGAGCGGTAGTTGAGAAATTCCCATTCATTTACTGCGAGGAGTGTCATGAATTGCGTTATCATCTGGAGTTATGTTGTAGTGACGGTTTCCGCAAAAGCACTAGCTTTCATAGGCCTCCGAACTCGTATTATTTGAATTTCCGTAGTATCCCAACACAGCATCCTTGTGTTTTCATCTGGAAAGTCTTGAAACTTTCAAACTTGTTGACGTGACCGTGTGTTGATATATCCAAACGGTTCATGGAGGCCTTTCACAGCCACAGAGAAGTATGAATGAGATTATTCTGATTAACGTTACATATTGCAAGTTACACGGCTATAAATTCACGATATGGCACCTTTGTCATGAAGTGCTCATACGGCATAACTTCTCTTGTTACTTGTCTAACTATAGACAAATCTGCCGATATCTTGCTCATGTGATTTCTGTTAGCTTGCTACGATAGAGAAGTTCGCCTCATCTGTGAAAGGGGAGGGAAACTTCGCCGACTGACGAATCGCATCCATAAGAGCACGGAAGGCCCAGTACTTTCATTCTTAAAAGATCGTATGATGTTTGCCTCTTTGTCCTGGTCGGGGGTGTTTCCAAAGTAACATCATGGACAAGAGGAGACATTTCATGATATTACTTGGTTCTTGTTTTCTTGCTGGACGAGCGTTGGATTGCCCATGTGCACGTACTGGCCTGTTGGTTGATGCTCTAAATGTACTCATCTTTAGGAGCTTTTTACTTCTTTTTTACTAGTCATTTCACTACGCAAACCTTGGACATTTCGCACGGACAATCACAAATGCGTTTATCTGCATAAACCAAGATTTACACAAGAAGAAGAATCCTGAGCAATACTGCGGTCTCGAGATGATAATGTTAGCATTCCCCCGAGTCGAGCTGCTCGTTTGTCCATTTGCATTGTTCGGATCATAAGTAGATTCACCAGTAACATACCTGTTCGCGACTTGTGGCTGTTTCGACCCGGACAGACGGTTCATCATTCGAGCGGGTTTTTAGAAATCGATTAGCAAGAGGACAGTCGACGCCTTAGCGGGCCTTGTCAAGCTGCGATTAATGCTATTGGAAATTTGCAAAAAGATGGTTTTTTCCCACGTCCATCTTCTCCATCTCGTGTGAATTGAGTTCGTGTATTCCGGATCCGATGGGATTCATTCGAAGACCCAGAAGATCTCATATTAGGCTTGACCCAATAAAACCTGTCTCATCTCTCTCCACCGGGTTTATCAAGAGAACCGGGACCGGTTGGACCGGCCCGTCCACACCCTCTTAACCGTAGCCGACTAGAACCCTCGAAAACCTCCGTGCTCGGCGTCCGTCTCTTCGTCGCCGTCGCGAGCGATGCTTCGTCTCCGGACTCTGCTCTCTAGTCCCTCCAGGAAGAGGAAGAAGAACCGCAAAACCCGACGCAAGACTCGCGCCACGAGATCAGACGCTGTTCCCAGAAGGCGATGCGATGATGATACTGTCGCTGACGGACTGCGACAACCACCGCACCAGCTTGAAAACGTCCCGGAAGAAGAAGAAGGAGAAGGAGGAGAAGAAGAAGAAGATGGGGAGCTGGGTTTCCACCTCAAGAGCTCGGGTCGGTCGAACGCGCACGGCGTCCAACCCCTAGGGAATCTCTTCCTCAGCCCGAGCGCCGCCAACTCGAGAAACGCCGGACTGGGTACCCTCCAGAAGTTGACCGACGAGCTGCTGCTTGAAATTCTGGGGCTTCTGAGCGGTACCCAGTTGGGGATTTTGGCCACTGTCAGTAAGTCGTTCTATATATTCTGTAACCACGAGCCTCTTTGGCGGAACCTCGTCCTGGAGGCTCTGGGTGGCGATTTCTCGTACAATGGGTCCTGGAAATCTACTTATGTGGCCGGTTGTCATCCTTCGTTTGATGTGGGTAGAGTCGGGGATTTGGGTTTGGAGATTCGGGATTTTTATTCGGATTATATCTTCCAGAGTTGGCTCTGTGCCAACCTCGAGATGAAGCCCGAGTGGCTCGAGAGGGATAATATAGTTAGGAAGAGAGGGGTTTCTGTTGAAGAGTTCGTGAGGAGCTTCGAGGAGCCGAATAAGCCGGTTTTGTTGGAAGGTTGTATGGATGGTTGGTTGGCATTGGAGAAATGGAACAGGGATTATTTGGTTAAAACATGCGCGGGTGTCCGCTTTTCGGTTGGTCCTGTGGAGATGAGACTGGAAGACTATTTTCACTATTCGGATCAAGTCAGGGAAGAAAGACCATTGTACTTGTTCGACCCGAAATTTGGGGAGAAAGTGCCGGTTCTGGGGTCGGACTATGAGGTTCCCGTATATTTTAGGGAGGATTTGTTTGGTGTTTTGGGCAATGAGAGGCCAGACTATCGATGGATTATAATTGGACCATCTGGTTCTGGTTCGTCGTTTCATATAGATCCCAATTCGACCTCAGCTTGGAATGCGGTGATCACGGGGTCTAAGAAATGGCTGTTATTCCCTCCTGATGTCGTTCCTCCAGGGGTTCATCCGAGCCCTGATGGAGCAGAGGTAGCGTGTCCCGTTTCAATAATCGAGTGGTTCATGAACTTTTATGGGGCCACAAAGAGTTGGAAAAAGAAGCCCGTTGAGTGTATCTGTAAGACCGGAGAGGTGATCTTTGTGCCTCGTGGATGGTGGCATTTGGTGATTAACTTGGAGGAGTCCATAGCTATCACGCAGAATTACGTCAGCTCGTAAGTCCACTCTTGTGCACTCCTTCCAGTAAAAGATTAATGTTTGCTTCTTATAACCTAAAACATAATATATCTGATCATATGACATCTGGGCCTGTCATGTGAGCCTCATATCTGTTTGCATCAGTAACATAGATGATCTCCATGAGGTAGTTGTGGAAATTTATTTCTTTTGAATCAAACACAGAGACTGTAGAGTCAAGTGGTTACATTTTTTTCATGTGAGTTTTAGCAGTTTGATAAGTTGTCAGAGATATAGTAATTCCGGTTTCAAGGAATTGGAAGAGAGATCTTCTTATAAGCACTATTGGAGTGATGTCCAAAAATCTCTGCAGATGAAAGGGGATTTAGCCTTCTTCTTTTTGCCACGTCTGTATAGCATAGCTCATTGTTCTGTCCTTATTTTTTTGAAGATTTGAAGAGATTATGCATCTGAACATCAATGTATCTGGAGGTTCAGTTGTGTGGAATGGTGGTTTTAAGGATTAGATAGAGGATATAGTTATTCCGGTTTCAAAGAATTGGAAGATAGATCTTCTTATAAGCACTTTTGGAGTTAGTTCTGAAAACTTCTGCGGATAAAAAGGGATTTAACTTTGTATAGCAATTTTTTTTTTTGTTTTTGCCACATCTGTATAGCATAGTTCGTTGTTCTTTTTTTCCCTTTCGAAGATTTGAAGAGATTGTGCTTCTGAACATCCATGTAAATGGGGGTTCAGTAGTGTGGAATGGTGGTTGTAGAATCCTTTAGTGTGCACATCATCATCAGTGCATGAGAAGAGGTGCCCCTTTAGTTGTATTACTTGACATATTTCGGGTTGGCACTATGGGAAATAATACTATCCCTGATGGTGATTACTTGGTTTAACCGTGACATTAAATTTTCTGTTTTACTCAAAGGATATAGGCTCTTGTATGAAGTTTAGACCATGCGGAAGAACCCAGAGCTTGATCTTACATTCCTTAAATAAATGGGGTTGGTAGATGCTGCTGCTATTTTTGGGTGAATATGTAGTCAATCTACTTAAAATTTTTCATGGATCTTCTCTGCTGCAGGAGTAATTTGTTGAATGTGTTGGATTTCTTGAAGAAGCCGAATGCCAGCACACTAGTCTCTGGAACAAGGGATCGGGTGAATCTTCACGATAAGTTTAAAAATGCAATCGATGCCAAGTTTCCAGGAAAGATTGATCAGCTGATGCTCGAAGCAGAGGAGAAGGCGGCGTTGCAGAAGAAACCTTCTTTCTGGGATTCAGTAACAGATTCTAAGGCCGGTGCCTTCAAGTTCTCTTTCTAGAATATCAAGTTACTCAACTGTCACATCCTATTTAGAGGAGATTCAAGTTTACAATCCTGGAGACCTGCAGTTTAATGGATTTCTACGCGTGCGGCGATTTTTCACCCCCGGTTTCTAATTTCCTGAGAACACCGGAGGTTTTGAAAGAAGATCGAAGTTGCCTATGTAATACCCATTGTTGTAACTTGGAAAATTTTGTCGTACACCATTATTTATTGAATCTAAAATTTTCAATATTATTTCATCACATTTATTGGTCGGAGTTATTCTTCAGTCATCCTTAACCGCTTGAATATATCTGAATCCTGAATTTGCAATAGTTAAAGAGATCAGGTGACAGGAAGTCAAGTATCTGGTAATCTGATAATAAAGATTCAATGTGGATGATGAGAATGGATTTGCCATCATGTGAATTTGCATTTGAAGCTAAACGAGCCTGGAGCCCGAGAGACATTGAATTTCTTTTCTGGTGATATCGTCGTCGGCTTTTGCTAGGCGTGATCATTCGGCAGGCCAGGATCGAGTCGGGTCGACCACTGGTGGTTACAGGCCCGCCCGCTCACCAAACCAAGAAAATCAACTTCCTTGGCTTGTCTAGTGAGTGTTGCACTACCAGCAAGCTAACTGTTTTGTCTACCGGACACTTGACGACCTCCAAATTTGAGACTTTTCAGTACAGTTCAGTCTATATAAGCCATTCCATTTGAACTGTTTCGTCTTCTGAACGACCAAAACATGTTAGAACCTGACAGATGAACGGCTGCAGCAGCTCTATACTGAAGACCTTGAGGCTGAAGAATCCGAAGCTCTTGTTGCTTGAATCGTGCTCCAGCCTCTCCGATCTGAAGATCATCCATGGCCACATGATCAGGACCCATCTCGTCCTCGATGTTTTCGCGACGAGCCGTGTGATCGCTCTTTGCGTAGACACCACGTTATTCAAGAATGCTAGCTCGCTGGTTTATGCCCTCAAGGTGTTCTCTCAAGTGCCAAGCCCCAATCTTTTCATGTACAACGCGTTGATCCGAGGATGTTCGGATCGTGAAAACCCAGAAAGGTCGATCGATTTGTACATTGACCTGTGCCGGCTTGGCTTGGTCCCTGATAATCTGACCTTCACGTTCCTGATCAAATCTTGTACCAGATTGATCTCTCTTGTGTCGGGTTCTCAGTCCCATTGTCAGGCTCTAAAACGTGGGTTTGACGGAGAGGTTCACGTGCAAAATTCGTTGCTTCACATGTATTCATCGCTTGAGGATGTCGAAGCCGCCGGTCGAATCTTTCGTAGCATGAAGTGCTTAGATGTGGTTTCTTGGACGACCATGATATCGGGTTTATGCAAGTGCGGGGATGTGGTGTCTGCGCGTAGGCTGTTCGATAGAATGCCTGAACGAAACATGTTCACGTGGAGTGTCATGATAAATGGGTACACGAAGGCCGGTCGTTTCGAGGAAGCCGTCGAGCTGTTTGAGTCGCTTCAGCTGGAAGGTGTTAAGGCAAGCGAGACAGTCATGGTCAGCGTTGTATCTTCATGTGGTCATTTGGGAGCGTTGGAATTGGCCGAAAGAGCTTATAACTATTTGATCAGAAACAGCTTGAGCTTGAACATGACACTCGGAACAGCTGTTGTTGACATGTATGCCAGATGCGGAAGCATCGATAAAGCTACTCGTGTTTTTGAGGAACTTCAAGAAAGGGATGCTTTGACCTGGACGGCTCTAATCGCTGGATTCGCAATGCATGGCCATGTTCAGAAGGCACTTCATTACTTCTCGAAAATGCTCGATGCAGGGATTGTCCCTACAGACATTACGTTTACGGCAATATTATCCGCTTGCAGCCATGGGGGATTGGTGGGAAAGGGCTTTGAGATTTTCGACAATATGAAGAGAGTTCATGGAATTGAGCCGAGGTTGGAGCATTATGGATGTATGGTGGATCTTCTAGGCCGAGCAGGAAAGTTGAAAGAAGCTGAGAAGTTTGTTCTTGAAATGCCCGTGAAGCCAAATGCTCCAATATGGGGTGCACTTATCGGAGCTTGCCGGATTCACCGCAATGCCAAAATTGCTGAACGGATTGGAAAGACTTTGATCCGGCTGCTGCCGGAGCACAGTGGATACTATGTGCTACTTTCTAATATCTATGCAAAAGCAAACAATTGGGAAGGCGTAAATATAATGAGAGGGATGATGAAAGAGAAGGGAGTGAAGAAAGAACCCGGGTTTAGCGCGATCGAGATTGACGGGAAAATGCACAGATTTATGATGGGAGACAAATCACACCCAGATATACATAAGATCGAGAAGAAGTGGGAGGAGATTGTTATGAAGATAAGATTGGTAGGATATACTGGGAATACCGATGATGCACTGTTCGACATAGATGAAGAAGAAAAGGAGAGCGCGCTGCACAGGCATAGCGAAAAGCTTGCTATTGCCTATGGGATCATAAAAATTGGTGCTGAGGCACCGATTCGGATAGTGAAGAATCTACGAGTATGTGAAGATTGCCACAGGGCTACTAAATTGATCTCGAAAGTCTTCAATCGGGAACTTATCGTCAGGGACCGGAATCGATTCCATCATTTCAAAGACGGAGCTTGTTCGTGCCTTGATTTTTGGTGAAACAATGTGCGTGCGGGATGTGTATAAGAGCGATTGACCATCTTTCTTGCTCATGGCTTGGCCCCTGATGATCCTTGTCATAGCAAGATATTGGTAGACGAAGCAAAGCATCTCCTTGGACTCTGATTCGTGACAAACAGTCATTGTGTAGCCTGACGGAAGTAGACGAATTTAAATTCAAAGTTGCACTTTTTTTCTCGATTCATCTCTCTGAAATGACACTCAAGCAGCAGAAATTCGTTGCTGCCCATCCTCGACCGCTGAATATATGAAGCTCTCTTTGCTCTGGTACAACACAAAATTGGAAAACTTCGAACTTGCTTTAACACCAGCTTCTCTTCCTTTTGAAAATTAGGTATCTCACTTTTAATACTTAGGATCAATATTCATACAAGTGTACAGTCTTAACATGTCCGATACTAAATGTCATTATATTCATATTCTATATTTGGTATCATAACTATGTTGCGCGCATTTGACCACTTAAATCAGTACATTTAACTGGGAACACCATTTGTCACTTCCGATTTCCATTCCCATTCCAATTCTCTATGCAAAATGGCCTCCTGAGATGCAATCAGGATCCTGATGGCTGGTGGTTCTGTCCTGGGAAGAATTGACATTTGTGATGAGCCAGATGCAATGTGCCTTACTGTACTGCTAGCATGAGTGCTTCCCGGGAAACTATTAAGTTTATTTGCATAGCGAAGTGATTTTCCTAGATCAGGCAGCAAAGATTGGCTAAGCCGGTCTGGAAAAGTTTATTCTACAGCTAGAGCTTGTCAATGACTTCAACCACTTAGTTGAGTTGTCAAACTAGATTACTTCCCTTGCTTTCATGTCATCCATGCCCGCCTGAACAATTATTGCGGTGCACCTAACCGCTATAACCAAAAAGATGAAGAAGTAAAATGACGAGTCTTTCAAAATAACTTTTTCTCCAAAATACTTTAATGAGATGATAGAGTTGTCTCCCCCCAAACAATTCTCTCCAACTTATATAGACACCAATGGAGACGATAGAGTTGGAGCATGGCATCGGACTTTAAGTTTACTTTAAGGATAGTGACATGTCATTAGCAAACATCATGGATATCCAGACTTTGATCAATGCAAGCATAATCTCAAACTTTACTTGAAAAATTTATGCTTTGATTAAGACTTCATTATTCCGACCCAAAAAAAAAGCTAAGAATTCATTACATGAAATAGAGACTAAAGGTGACAACTTGATTGTTTCATGGCATTTGATTCTTTTACTAGGTCAGAGCTTAACTCATACAATGATGTACATCACTGCTGCACCATGCTTGACGTAAAACCGCAAAATTGAAGGATTAGAGCTGGAGAAAAAACAATATCCAGCATTGAGAAAATAAGATCCCCCGTAACTGTCAGGCAGGAGATACTGAAGCTGTGTAAGAACCGTTGCAGTACTTCAAACTTTTCAGTAGACCTAAACGCAAGTGAGGAGTAACGGTTGCTTCAGACATACCAAAAATATCAGTCTTCTCCAAGACTTCACTTGCCAGGGCTTCAGAATCAGACTTGCCAAAAATTGTTTCAAGAACAGCATTCAAGCCAATTGAGGCACTCTCTGTCACAAAGCTGAATGCAACCATGTCAAAATTAAAGCCGAGTATATGACATGTATTAATGATCCCCCAAACGTACACTCAGTCTAAAGATGCAGAACACGTGAGCTTAAATGCCTACGTACTTTCATTGCCTTCAAATATATAAAGAACTCAAAAGAGCGACGGTGCATAGACTCTACAGAGAACAGCAGTCAACTTCAACTTGAATTCACAGGAACATCTAAATTCTCTTAAAGATCTTTCCACTTAGGTTCATTTGTTTAACGGAAAATAAACGATTTGGAAAATATTTTCTTAAAAACGTTCGCTTATATCGCTTAAAATAATTAACCAATGAAAAAATATTTCCATTATCGCCAACAATATATATCTAAATATTTTAGTGGATGATGAAAATGTTTTTCATTCATTTATTTTTGTAAGTGATATAAGCAATCATTTGTAGAAAAATATTTTCCAAATTATTCATTTTCCGCAAAACAAACGGAGCCTTATATTGCAGATATATTAAGTTAACTCATATGTGATCAAACATGACTACGACAGATATTCCATAGTGGAATTAAACATGAAATTTTTCTACACACCTTGCCTCAAACGTGAGATACATGCGATCAGACATGAGATGCAAGTAATCAACTTCATCAGACATCAGAGTTTTCAACATACCTTGCCTCAAATCTGCCTTGAGACCCAAGAAGTGCACATATATTGCAGATAATCCATGGCGGTATATATGCATCTGTAATTTCAAGAGTATAGCGAAGGCCAGCTGTAGAGTCACCACCTGAGCTACTGTCTTCTTTTATTGAATCAGCAATATGATTTGCTGGTCTCATTTCCATGCATCTAACCTGAAAATAAGGTGGAATTGAGGACCTACGGGCTATAGCCATGAGATACATTAATGAAAACAGGCAACTATTTCTCGAGGTTAGATGACTGCAAAAAGATGGCAATCAAAATGTCTTCCAAATTTTGTCTCTTACTGATTTCAAATGAAACGTTTGACAATTAGTCCATATCACACAGCCAATGAGCTCAATCTTATAGGATGATCATAAAAGGTAAAAAGACACACCTCAGGAACAGACACAGCAGCATTTTGGAATGGAATAGGCGAATATAGTACCGGAATATCCACCCCAGTCAGAAATGTCAAGAAAGATCTGCCAAGAACTTTAAATTCAGGACCACTGACAAGAAACTTTAAGTATAGAAAGCAATTTATAGATGCCTTTCTGATAGATGAAGCATATCACAATATACAGGCCACTACTTACCTATAATTTAACAAAAGGTCATAGAGACCATGAACATCTTTATTTCCACTGAAAGCTAGCAAAGATTGTGGAGTATTATCAACGTCGGACAATGAACTGGGCCGTCGAGTCTGTGATTTTAGCATAAAAACAAAAGGTAGGTTAATGCCCTTTAAATGCATATATACTATTGCTCGTGCTAATGCCACTTTAGTAAAAGAGTTGGACTTGTCTTCTACAGTTACAATAAGAGAGAGGGTTTTGGCAGGTTGCATTACCAACAGTTTAAATGCAAGAACTAGATATGCTAATGTCAACGTGAAGAAATTGTATTCTTCCGCATTGTGACAGCTCAACTAAATGAAACCAACAATTAACGCTACATGAATTACCCCAGAAATCAGCTCCAAATGAGAGGCTCAGGAAAGAATTACTAAGATTCAACTGACCATGAACAGCTCTCAGCTCGATATGTTGTCAAACTGTTGAAGAATTATCCCACATCGATTGACAACGGGTTCTAAATGCTCTTTATATTCATGTGGTCTCTCTCCACCTAAAAGCTTAAGCTTTTGGGTTGGACTTTCTAACATGGTATCAGAGCCAATGCTATCCCTTTCGCGAATGTGCGTGGTAAAAATTCCATGTGAATGTGCGATGTCAAAATTTCACGTGCTGCTCGTAATCCGACTTGCACGTGAGTGGGGGTGTTGAAGAATTATCCCACATCGATTGACAACGGGTTCTAAATGCTCTTTATATTCATGTGGTCTCTCTCCACCTAAAAGCTTAAGCTTTTGGGTTGGACTTTCTAACACAAACAAAATATTCAAACTTTATTATGTCGACTTATATCTTTGCCCTACTGCTCTCGCCCACAATGAAAACAATCTACCAAAAGCACAAACCTTACCTGGCCTAAATTATGCTTCTCTATCTCTGAAAGCTCAACCAGATCTTCTGTAGCAAGTTGTTCCACCTTCGAATGGCATAGAGGCATAGAAAAACATATATCCTAATTAAATCAGACAAAACCGAATGGTCAGGCATTATTCCAGAAAAAAGGAAGTTCAAGAAAAGGGACTAATTTGGTCAATGTGACAACTGGAACTAATTGAGCCATATCCTTCGCAATGATAGCTTGACCAATATGATAGATAAGACCTCCAACAATAGAAATTCTTTCTTTTCTTTATCGGAAATAAAAGGTCATCAGACGTAAACTAAATCACAGCCAACAAGTACAGACCATGATCATGTCCAAATGGGCAATAAATGTAATCTTATACTGATCTCAGGATCACTTATACAACTTGGCTAATGAGCAACTTGCAATCGAGCCAGATATTTCGATAACAAGATATGTATGCGTCAGCAATATCTTTATTGAAATGCTAACAACAGGACAATGATGCCTCACGGGAATAAACTTCCGTTGTATAAAATAGGCTAAACAAAATAGTCTTGACAAATCCCATCTATGGTTCCTGCTGGCTGAGCAAGCCCTGAAGGTGATCCCAAACTAGAGATTCAATCAAGTGACAGTACTTAGGAAATTTTGACAGAACGGAATAAGCACTATTAACAACTAAAAGGTGCATGCAGCAACAGAAGCAAACACCAATTGCTGTGACTTACATGCTCTCTAAACAATGACCGCAGACCTCTTGTCGACCGGGACACATAAGCACTGCAAGTCCTTTTGCTTCTTCCAGAGTCACCATCAGCAGTAAACATTACCACAAATTGAGAAGTGCACACTAATTCCCATGAATAAAATAGCATATTAGGGCAACAAATCAACAGACAGGATGATTATATAATGACCAGAAAGAACTAATTGATATAGTTCTTGGTGAGAAATGGCCTTCTAACAAAGTCCTGTTATTCACATGGCATAATTACTGCTTTACCTATAGAATTGACTCTTTATTAAGTCATGAGAGATCCATTGTGTAAGATATTCAGCAGCATCGAGAGTCATGGATACTCTAGACGTTGCAGAAAGTTATAGGCACCGTAAGGGCTCAAATACCTCTTTCAATTTTTAAACATTTGAAATGTTATTATTAATACAAAACATGCTCTTCATGAGTACCAGCAAATTAATAAATACTAGCTTGTGTTTGTCATCACAAAGAGCTCTTTCAGATGTCATTGATTTGGCCTACGTTAAGCCTACAAATTTTCAGGTAATTAGCTGTATATCTTCCTAAACTCGAGATACTTACATATACAGAAGCCATTAGTCCAAGATTGAAACGAAAAAATCAGAAAGAAGCATGGAAAGTAGTTGCTTATTGCTTAACTAATAGCAGCACTACGTCATACACATTCGTGGAAATTGACTTCGACATATATTCCAACAGAAGAAAATGAGATAGTCCGAAAAGTATCTGAGCATCTCAAGGAGGAGAAAATTACCGTAAAATACGCTACATATGTTCTTCCGGAATAAGTAGTAAAGACTACGAAATGACTCTTCCCATGACAATTGTCGCTTCTTTAAGAAGTCCATCTCCACTAAACAAAAAGGAGAGCATTAGTGACAAGTTCAGGGGGACACCCTCCATATCTTATATCTCATTTGACAAACCTTTCTCTGCAGCTGGTGAGGTCAGCACTGACATAAGAGAAAGTGGAAGAGTGGACTGAGGATATATCCATGAATTCAAAGCCGTAGAGCAAAAGCCCATGGAGGCGATGTGGGTTCTTGAACAATGGCTAGTTCTTTGACCCTCAGAGCAAGCACAAAGAGATGTATGATTGGGAACACTATTGTAACTACCATTTGTAATTAACCTGTAAATCCTGGAAATAATGAAGGAAAAAAGTTAATCGGACAACAAGAAAGCATACACCAAACCTTGAGCAATAGAAAAGAACTACATGAGTAAAGGAACAAAGAAGTCGGTATAGTTTGAGCATGGTGTGTGAAAATTAATAACCCTGCCACAACTTGTGCTATTAATCAAAGTTGTCAATTTGCATGCAGATTGCAGAGTAGTGTGCCACCCATTTATATGTTTTAAGAAAGTAAATATTTTGATATTCTTAGATGAGGGCAGACATTTCCAATAAATAAAAAAATGATTCAGGAACCAATTGGCAAGTAGAAAACTCAGCTAAATTTCTCAAAACAAGTGATGCTCCCCATTTCATACGATATCTTCAGTGCAAGCAGCACCAGGTTTTGGTGTAAGTATAATTTTTTCCCATGTTTTTAATGCCGTTTAGAATTACATAAGATGTCATCATGCACAGGCAGTGGAAAAATCTTCAAACTCTAATACAAGATTTAAAATAATTTTCATAATGACCCTATTGAGTAAAGACCAAAATTGAAATATCTCCAGATTAGGAACAAAATGCCCCAGGAGTCTCCAAGCAATTGTAAGCCCTCACAACACTATTAACTGCAAAAGACATTAGCAGATTTGGGATCTGTACACACACCAATTTACTGAAGAAGATGCTGCAATCCGCATGACTGTCTTCAAAGTGAAATCTAGAGGAGCCTTTTGGCCAACTATGTTGTACTGAGAGCAGCCCGAGTAAGTCGAGGTAGAAGTAAAATTTTCAGAACAATCATCAAATAAATGAGAAGCTGGTTCTCGAGCAGCCAATCCTTTTAGAGCTTTATCCTACAAAGATAGTGGTGATATTACTGAAGGATATACCAACGGCTCAAGGGAAAACAGATGAGAGTAATTACCATATCGATATTAGCCAAGCCAGATAGTTTTTCGGAACTAGACGATATCTCGGCAACTGTACGGAATCTACTCTGGTTACACCTCTCAAGTGTTGACTGAGTTTGTACTCCATGATTTTCAGCAACTTTAGAAGAGAAAATAGAATCCTCGGAACTGCAGGGATACGAGGAACAAAACATATAAGAAGGTGCTGATTTCATCAATAATCATTAAGCAACATAGAGAGAGTATTGGGCATCTCATCAATACCATTGAAGATGTTGTTTGCTTCTTGTAGCCATGTTCGAAAGCACAGCAAGATTCTTCATTGCATGACTCTGCTCCACTGTACTGGTTTCCTGCTTAAGAGCACATAACCAAGGAAATAACTTTTTATCTTGCTAGCACGCCAACGATAGACAATAACTCCCCCCCGAAGCTCAAGCTCTCGAAATTAAAACAGATGAGTGACATAAAGCAGAATCTAGAACATCTATCAATTATACCGGAAAATGCCCTTACCTTCACATTCTCCTTCAGCGATGACATTTTAAACCTTGACTTTTTGGCAGGATATACTTCATTAACTCGCGTATCAATGTATCTTGGTAGTTTAAACACTTCTGGTTTCTTAAGACCATCATTTGTGCCGGCATTGTTACTGGAAGAAAAAAAAACTTCTCAATGACTAATCTCGTGCTTATAGAATGAAAACTCAAATACGATCAGTGAAACACTTACTTCAGAGAATCGAGTAAAGGGGCTGCAGATTCATCTACAAGCTCAACAACATTGACGCGTTTCAGTTGCTCTCCCTGTAAAGGACATTAATCCAGTCAAGCCACGTTAATTATTTATCACCGCTGTTAATTTTCTTTAGTTTTTTCGACAACCAAACTGAAGACTCGAGTAACAAAGCAAGAGTAACTGGAATCAGCGTGCCAACTTAAAAAGCTAGTGACTTTTGGAGCCTCAAAACAAAAGTCACATGCTCAAGCAGAGCGAGTCACATCTTAAGCTGTGCTGCGATCCACAGAAATACACCATCGAAAGCAAAGCGGCGCGCATCATCCAGAGAACCAGCTAAGCATCATCTCGTCCCCACAGCCACAAAAAAAAACAAACACTTTCACAAAACGAATCGCCACAAATCTCTAGATGATTACTCTCAGCTCCGACGGAGTCTTCCTTCTCAGCTTCGCGCCCATCTTCGAAGCTCCTCCTCCGCCGCCGCCGCCTCCGGGATGGAACTTATCCGGAGGAAACGAGCCCGGCCCAGCCACCGTCGCCATGCTCGCCCCGGCCGCTCCCACGGTCTCGGCCGCGCCACCAGCGAATCGCGCTGCAAGCACCTCGCATCAAAAATCCGGGAAAACGAGGGCAGGGACGAAGCGGAACAACAAGAACGGGAGCGAGAGGGAGAGAGCGAGAGCGCCATACCTTCACGAGAATCACCTCATTTCCGGGAAGACGACGACGACCGACGGCGAGCCCTAGCCCGATTCGATCGAGGGAACGGATCGCAGGTGCAGATGAAGAGAGAGAGAGAGAGAGAAGAGCAAGAGCCAAAAAGTGGAAGGAGGGGATTGAGAGAGCTGGAGCCTTGGAGGCTTTGGTTTTGAACACATTTCGATTTTCCCTCTATGCGGGACTTGACGGCGACGGCGACGGCGCCGCCTCGACTGCGCCAACGTTCGCTAACGGCGTCGGAGGGACAGCGGGCTGCTATGGGCCTTTAACGGGGCCCTGGGTCTTGGGCCCATTTTAAGGATCCAGTTTGTATGGGATCGTGTACATCTTTGGGATAATTACATAAATGGTCATTGAACTTTGGCCCAATGTGCAATTTCGTCCATGAACTACATTGAATATTTTCATATAGTACATGAGCTAAATTGAACATGTATCAAAAGTTCATAAATCCCATTGAAAAAATTAAAAATTATGGACAATATTGTACATTAGGCTAAAGTTCAAAGATCACGTTAAACAAAACAAAAGTTCGGGAACGACATTGTGCATTGGGGTCAAAATTCATGGACTATTTATGTTATTTTCTCTATATCTTATTAGTATGCGGTAATGAAATTCTCGAATTTGATAGTAGTGTGAGAATTTTTTCTCCTTGATCAATCACGGAAGGACGGAAACTCTATGCAGCTAGTTATGTGGCCTTATATATTGGTAAATGTATTTGCATGTGTTTATTTTTTATGTTATTAGCTTCTCATGTATTTTTTTTTGGGCAATAAGCCACTGAGTATGCTAAGTAAAATATTTGTCGAATTGAACATACAAAATGCAGCCAAAAAATTGGAACGAATTACATACGCACATCAGAAAAATTGAAGAGAAAGTTTGTTAAAAAAACCTAAATCTATTGTACTTTTGCTAATTCAGCCCTAAACTTTTTAATTTTCTCAATTGAGTCAATCCAACTAATTTTGGCTAAAAATCGCTGACATAAATGCATACCATCCTACGCCTCGACTAGCCACTAGCAAGACTTGACCTCACCTAGCGACGGCAAGGGGGTAAGGTCGACCTTGCTAGGGGCGGGCAAGGCTTGTCCTCACTAGTGGCTGATGGGGACGAGCTTTGCTTGAGGCTAGCAAGGTCGACATCGCCAGCCATCACCTATGGCCGATCATTGAGGCTCGGCGACAGGCTAGAGGAAGAAGGGAAGAAGAAAAAACGGAAAGAAAGAAAAGAAAAAGGGGAAAAAAAGACAAATTCAAAAAATTATTAAAAATTATCCATGTTAATGTCGGTCATGCCACGTAAGACGCCCGCGTCCACGTCAGCGATTTCTAGCCAAAATTGGCTAGATGGACTTAATTGGCAATATGTGAAAAGGTTTATGACTCAATTAACAAAATCAAAAAGTTAATGACTTTTTGGGCAATTTCCCTAAAATTGAAAAGCTCGAATACTATCAACTTTTTCGCAAATTAATTTGTTTTAGAGCATGTGCGTTTTTATATACCCAGGTTCATATTAAATAACTTTTCACTAAATCTTTATAATGGCCAAGTTAAAAACTCGAGACCATATACCCTATCCACTAAACTAATATTAATCGATCGAGTATAAGTCACGTGGACAGCCACATGGCAAAATCACAAAGGTATAGTTAAATGTCACGTGGGCAAAACATTTGTTAGCTCCGGCTTGAACTATATATAATAAAGAGAGACGACGCACTATTGAAACCGAGGAAGGAGTGAGAAGTGGGGCCGGTGTCATCGCTAGAGGCATCGCGGCAAGGCTGACATCGGCTTCATGGAGAGGGCGGCGGCACCTTGGCATGGCGGGGCGGACGGTGGTTGGAGTGAGGCTGCGGCTGATCTGAGACAGGTAGGGAGGCGAAGGTAGAGGAGAGAGGTCGAGAGAAACTTAGGATTTACATTTGAAGTTTTCAAACTGAGTGGGTGAGAGTCGCTTCGTGTAAAAACTTCAAAACATTTTAGGGATGGGAGGAGGAAAATCTTGTTCAATTTGGATACGAGGAGGATAACGCAACCTGTTAAATTATGACTCGAGCTTGAGCCAGTTCCGTAACGTGACTTGCTCGGATAAATTTCCATATTTGACCGTGAAGATATCTTTACTGTTGGAGATAATATTCAAGATTGCTCGCGAAAGGAAATCAGAGCATATTGGCACTACAGGACAAAAGATGAGCACATATATTCTACAAATTTATATGTTTCTTTTATGGGGTAGTTTGTGGGCCCAAGGGTAAAAGAAAAGAAGATCAGAGCATTCACATCGTGCGCTTGAAAATTTTGTTCTTTTGTCTTATCCAAGGGCATAAAGGTCATTGTGAGAGAAAACAACCAAAAAACAAGGGTTTGTTTTTCTCTTCTTTAACCTACATTGGCTGCGTGAACATATCAGGGAAAAGAACCGTGGGTTTTCTTTTAAGCCGTGAAGAGCCACACAGGAAGAAGTTGCGATCGCCGAAGAGAAATCGTACGAAGGACTTCTCCGAACACGGTGATTTGTACAGTAAGTTTATTTCGTCCAATTAAGTTATTTATTCATAAATACTTTTGGTTTGGACTTAAATTTAAATGTGGAAAATACTCAAGCGTGTGAGCGAATTATAACTCTGATTTTCTGATTATAGTGAATTATTTGTTGCAGGCTCTCCCCATAGATGTAAGTACCGATATTCGGATCGAATCATGCAAATCTCTGATGTCCTTTATCGTTCATCGTTTATTTCTCTGTAATTTTCACATTGACTTAATTTATAAGATCTTGTCGTTTTCGCGTTATATTTCAACACAATCCGCGCTTCAAACCGGAGAAAAATCTCTGATGCGACTTATTAGTCCCTTCATCAAGTGGTTCATCAAGTGGTTTTGTAGAACACGTGCTTTTTGAATTTTCTGCTAGATGGATTAATCAATGGAAAACTGGACAAGTATCTGCTCTGCAAGAGTTGCTGCGTTTGAAGGATTGACCTTTATTGCGAAATTTGTAATGCTCCGAATCGATCCTAGTACAATTCATTCTCCTTATGATGGACTATATCTCTACACAACAGATGATCCATGCTACTTTCATCTTATAAAACCTAAAATTAATGGAAAACGATGACTAACGTACGTTATGTATGAATCGATTCCTTCCTTCTGGACGATACAAGCACTTCAATACTGGATCAGAATTTTTTTATCAGAAATGACATGATTGGAACTTTCAGCTTTCGATAATGACACGATTAAAAACGAACCGAATGCATTCAAGTTCTCTTTTGAAATGAGTAACCTTCTCCTGGAATTCGAGTTTATAAGTGTCATGATCAATTATACAAACTAATACATATCTTTCGATATACATATCAGAATCTCATGCATGGATATATTGCAATCTCTCTCTCTCTCTCTCTCTCTCTCTCTCTCTCTCTCTCTCTCTCTCTTACATTGTATTGATCCCCACAGCATCATCATCATATGAAGAGGCAGAAAGAGAAGATGACTGGTTCCCGGTAAGTTGCTGAACCAGACCCATGAACTCATCAGGCTTCACATGAATCACTTTGGGCGATCTCAAGTACACAATCTTGGTAACCGGTTCTCTGCAACGACTCGCGGTTGTAGCCCGGGAAAAATCTTGCTCCTTGATCATCTTTGTGGAGCTTCCGTTCACAGCCATCGCTTCAGGCCTTGGACCCTGCAACAACAGTGGCCTGTTATCCACGACCCTTCTTGTTTGAGAACTCATCGTCTATATCTCTTCGTGTTGCGACTCGTGATGACGTGCCCTGAAATGATGGAGGGTTTCTTTTAGATATATCAGTGAGAATTCATGCTGCATGGATCTGCTTATATATATGTGCGTGAGGGAGAGGTTAAGGATAACTTGAAGAGACCGTGTCTCGTGGGAGTTTGGGAGGGGGTTAAGTCCCCATGCAAACGACTAAACTTGGTCCACGTCTTGAGGTTTTTGAAACGGTCCTTTCCTACTGTGCTTGAATAAATAAATGCCATTTTCAGCAATTTTCCAAGTTGGGTTCGTTCTAGAATTAGTAGTGATTCATTACTGAATGATGGCAAGTGGTGCCCGAAGCAGTTGAGCGACAAGACAAGGTCAAGAACTGGAATCATTCGAGCAGATGATGTCATATGGCGTACGAAGAAGTCAAACTGAAGTTCTGTGCAGCCGCCGCAAACGCTCTATCTCTGCGATGGATCGTGGAAAAAGAGAGCTTTGAACAATCTTCTCGAATGTTTCGTGCAAGAAATCTTCTTGCTAAAGAACAACGGGTTAAGTACAATGTTATCATTCTTCTGACATACTTTGTTTTGTGCAGTCAAGATCCGTGATCTATCTACTTTTTGCAAAACTCAACTCTTTTATCACCTACCATTTGAAACTTCATCAATTTGCTGAAACATCTTTGGCCCCTTGCTTACAAGGGTTAGCCACCCTAATCCAGTGGTGGCGAGGGTCAAGGGCCATTGGCTAGCCATCACTCTCAAGGGCAATTTATCAAGGTCAGTTGCTCGGGTCGGGGCTATCTCACAAGTCAAAAGTCCAGAGCTAATCGTCTTTCATGGATCTTTAGGTAGTTGGAGTTCTATGTACCGTGCCATCAGATTATAAAAGAAAAGGAATAAGTGCATTGAAAGTTCTAAAACTTTTCACGAAAATACAATTGAGTCTTAAAACTTTCATAATGTGCAATTAAGTCCTAAAACTTATTATGAAAGTGCAATTGAGTCCTAAAATTTTCAAAAAATACAAACAAGTCCTAAAACTTGTCAAATTAGTTCAATCAAGTCCTTCCATTGATTACACTTTTTGAAAATTTTAGGACTTGATTGCACCTTCGTGATAAGTTTTAGGACTTGATTGCACTTTTGTGACAAGTTTTAGGACTTGATCGCATTTTTTAAAAGTTTTAGCATTCAATTGCACTTTCATGACAAGTTTTAGGACTTCTAATGCACTTATCCCAAAGAAAAATATACTATATATATTGTTGCGACATGCCACGTGAGCAGTACACAGAAAAATCTACGTCCTCTAGTGTCATCTTCCGAGTTTTGACCTCCCTCCTCCTCTCTCCATCTAATATTCCATTGTAATGTGCTGCTATGGTATACTGCATCGACCCCATATAAACACTGCCCGACAAATTTTGGCAATCGACAAAGTTGTTATCAGCCATTAATCAAAGTCCCCATGTTGCACAAATCAGACAAATTGCACTATAGAAGGCAAGAAAATCCGATCTTATAAATTCCATTAATTAGACAATAAAAGGTATAGAATTTTTTTTGGGCCGACCAATTATACCATACTCAATCCCAAGATTCCCAACTAAATATGGACAGGTCCATGTACAAGGAGACCTTAGGGGCCAAATTTGTCAATAAGATAAGATGGGGATATGTGTCTCGACATGGCCGTTGGACTGAAACCCCATGCACGTGCATGCATCGAGTGCCGAATACCGGCAACCTGCGTAATTCATAACCATAACCATTGCTCGCACGATCTTATCACGCCACAAGTCTGGATGATCTTCCCCTTTTGCGCATGCATTTCCATACCAGCAAGCTTCTCCCGGAGCGAATCGATCCTCCTCGTTTCTTCAGATTGTCCTCCGATACTCAGCTAAGATTCCTGCCACAAAATCCCTTTTTTTTTTTTTCTGGGTCTCGCGTGTGTTCTCGCGTTCTTCATCGATTCCGAATTCTTGTTCTTTCGGTCCTATTGGGTGTTCCAAAAACCAAGTCTTTTCTTTTGGTTTTTGCACCCTTTAATTCATGTGTCGTTTTTAGTTTGATTCCTCCGCTGAAGTGCAACGATCTCTCTCAAATTGTTGATGGGTCTCTGATCCGGATCAGAGAGCCACGAATTTGATTGCATTTCGGCGTAGCGGGATTGACAAGGAACCGACCAGACGACCCGGTTGTTGAAATGCCTGAGGGAGGGTTCGGAAGGACTTGTTAGCTAGATTGGTGTGAAATTTTGATGGGAAACTCATGCGTGGGACCGAAACTCGGTGCGAATGGATTCTTAAGTTCCGTCAGCGCGGCGATATGGCGTTCCAGACCGCCGGAGGACTGCCTCCCTCCTCCCCCGAATGGTGAGAACAGCAGCAAGAATGCGAGTAGCAGCGGCACCGGCACCAATGATGCAAAATCCAAGTCCTCCACTGTTCCAATTCAAAGCGCACCTCCTGAGCCTGTGAAGATTGATGCTCAGGAGCATAAACAGGCTGAACCGGAAAAAACGGTCAAGGAAGAGGTAAATAAACCTCCGGAGGCAGCGAAACCGAAGAAGCCGGGGCACATGAAGAGAATTTCGAGTGCGGGGCTTCAGGTGGATTCGGTGCTGGGGAGGAAAACACGGAATCTGAAGGAGATCTATAGTTTAGGCCGTAAGCTTGGACAAGGTCAATTTGGAACTACATTTCTATGCATAGAGAAGGGGACGAATAAGGAGTTTGCCTGTAAATCGATCGCGAAGAGGAAGCTGACGACGGAGGAGGATGTGGAGGATGTGAGGAGGGAGATTCAGATAATGCACCACTTGGCAGGACATCCAAGTGTTATATCGATTGTGGATGCGTATGAGGATGCGGTCGCGGTTCATGTCGTGATGGAGTTATGCGCCGGTGGTGAGCTTTTCGACAGGATCATTCAGAGGGGACATTATTCAGAAAGGAAAGCAGCTGAGCTTGCAAAGGTGATTGTAAGTGTGGTGGAGGCATGCCACTCATTAGGGGTGATGCACCGGGACTTGAAGCCTGAGAATTTCCTCTTTGTAAACCATGAAGAGGATGCTGCGCTTAAGACGATTGATTTTGGATTGTCTGTGTTCTTCAAGCCAGGTACATCGTGGGTTGTGCTCTTAATTTCTACTGCGAAATGTCTTATTATGAACGGATGCATCATCATTGAAATTTTCAGTGCCCTGCATTTTGACCTGCAAGTAGACAAAAATCAAAAGTTCTTTGTGAAATTGGGTCTAGCATATCATTTTAAGAGGTTGTGACTGTATGGATGACACAATTTTCACTAGCACTATTCTTCACTTTGCGATAGTTTTAAGATATGCACTTGCGGGTCCTCAAATGCCTTTCTGCAGTATCTGCTTGATGTGGCATAAAGATGGCCTCAGAAAAAGTCTAAGAAAGAAGAAATTTGCTCTTTGAGGGGATTTAGCTAATTGTTTCCTCACCCATAAGTCTCAATTTTCTGCGATTTGTGTATCCTTAAGGAATAAGAAGGCATGGAATATTTTCTAGAAGCTTGGAAAAGTAGCTAGCTGTCTCAAGATTGAGAGAATCAGGTTACATGCATCGTGTAGCTATCACTGATCTGCATTACTGGTAGGTTTTTAGTCCATACACTAGATAGGCTGATCTCAAATGCCTAACTCTATTCGATATAGTGGTCAGTAAGCAATCCATTCTCTATACATCTAGCAGTTTTGTTAGTAGGAACATGAATGTTTGGTCTTTCCCGATTTTCTCCCTCATGGTTGTCGTGCACAGGGCAGAGCACAAACTAATGTTCTGTAGGATGAATAGATGAATTGAAAGGACTGCCAACAATTTTGGTAGGTTTACCTCGTGGTGTATTTTTTTGAATACTCAGAAACCATTGCTGTGTTAAAATCACTGACATCATTAATTGTATGTAAAAGGACAGTGAGTGACATTCATTGGTTGCTGCCTACCTTGAATCTGATACTCTTGTGAGTATATCTTTTTATATAATGAAATTCTGCAGAACTCTGATTGGCAAGAAGTATTCTAAGATTTGTCGTATGTTGATAGTCAAATTAGTACAATGTGTCAGGTTCAAAGCCCACTTAGTGACCTACATCTGAAAATCACTTTCAGTCCTTTCGGTAATTGCAGCAGATATATGTGGAAAAGATCTTAGGCTGGAATATATGACGAATTCTCTCCTTTTAGTCTTCAAAAACTTGAGGAACCAATCATTACCAAGGCTAGATTTGCTAGTGCTACATGGCAAACATAATTCTGTGGCTCTTCAGGTGATTTGATGAAGCAATCTTAGGCTAGCAGTGTATGAAATGCATCCCAGGTTTTGTTTTGCCGCTTGATCAAGACAATCAATTGTCAATTAGAAGATAATGTTGGCAGAGCAACACTCTTTTGAAGAAACTGTAGCTGTAAATTGTCATGTTCGAAGTAACCGGTAATTGTGTGAAATGGATATGCAGTAAGACCTTTTCTAGGGAAGCAATCTTGGCATTGCTTCACATGGCAGGATTTTAAGAGTTATTGGTGTCAGGAGGTGGGTATTGCGGTCACTTGTAAAAATATAGCCTAAAGCAAGTGTATGGTCTTCTGTTGTCTCCATTTGGGAGGCAACTGCAAATTTCCAAGCTCATATCAACTAGTTAGGATGGGTTTCTTTTGTATAATTCCCTCTCCCACGATCGTGCTATCTTTCCTCTGTTACTCACAAAGCTGTGGAAGAATTTTCTGGAACTTTGAATTCATGGGCCAATGATCTCTCTCTCTCTCTCTCTCTATGTGAAGTGACAGTGACATATATGTTCGGTTTGTTAGATGCATATTCATGTTGCAGGTTTGCTGTGTCAATATTCAGATGTTCAACATTTAAGCATCTTATTAAACCCATACTTTTCCCATATCTACTAGAAACCAGACATTTAGAGATTAAACTTTCTCTGCCATCCTAAATTGTCAAGTGATTTATCTTCATCAGGAACTAGGCTCTGCTTCACAGATATGATACTGTAATTACCTATTCAACATCTATATACTGCAATAGGCTTATGAAAAGTTAAAGAAGTATATTAAATAAGAAAGGTGTAAGACCAGCTTTGAAGATGCTAATACAAACTTCAAGCTATATATGATGGAGATCAAGCTGTGGTACTTAGGAAGTGTTTTTTCGCGAGATTTTGATTTTTCTCAGTAGTTAAAAAATTTGTTGGGACTTGGCAGACAGGTCAAAATTAAATAAAGGATGAAGGAGGTCAAGTTTTTAAGAACTCTAATCCCATTGTTTACTGATTGTCTTTGGAAAAGTTACCAGTTGCACTTGTTTATCAGCTCCTTTCTATCCATCCTGTGAAGTAACATTTCTGTCTGCAGGTGAAATGTTCACTGATGTGGTGGGGAGCCCTTATTATGTGGCTCCGGAAGTACTACGGAAACATTATGGCCCGGAATGTGATGTTTGGAGTGCGGGGGTGATCATCTATATATTACTAAGTGGCGTCCCCCCCTTTTGGGATGGTGTGCATCTCTTATTTATCTTTCAATGCTTTCTACTTTGTTCCTTCAAACGATCTGCATATGAAGACCCTTAAAACTGAGACTTTGAAATTATGTGTTGCCTTCTTGTTCAGAAACGGAGCAAGGGATATTTGAGCAGGTATTAAAAGGAGAACTTGACTTTATATCCGAACCATGGCCTAACATATCTGAGAGCGCCAAGGATCTGGTGCGGCGAATGCTTGTAAGGGATCCGAAGAAGAGGCTTACAGCCCATGAAGTTCTCTGTAAGTAGCAATTCTTATTGCTTTTGATATTTTGGAAGCTACACATATGTATTTTGCCTCTTTTAGTTCTTTCAAAACCACAATTCGTTGCATCCCTGCTATTGTCACCTGCTGCTGTTTGTTGTCAAGAAGTATCATGATGCATGTCCATAGCATTGCTGAGAGTGCAAAAGCACAATGTGGCAGCATAGGAATTGAGTCCATAGACCGATTTCTCAGAAGGTGCAAAGCACTTGCCTCACCCTCATTATTTGAAAATTTCTAAGTTACTTCCAACATGTTACATTTTGGGACTTCGTGGGACTGCTTCCTATTTACCAATTCTCTTGGTCATTACCATTGGAAATACTAGATCCTCACTGTCTTGACTTCAGACCTTGACTCGATTGAGAGCCTTGCCGCGTCCTTTCATGATTCTCACAACAAATAGATAAACAAACATGCTTTTGCCCTGTGCAGGTCATCCTTGGGTTCAGGTTGATGGCGTTGCTCCTGATAAACCCCTCGATTCTGCTGTTTTGACTCGTTTGAAGCAGTTCTCTGCTATGGACAAGCTCAAGAAGATAGCAATCAGAGTACGCAAGTTTAGTCCAATTATGACAGAATTAAGGCTTTATGTTGATGCTGATCATTACTCTACGGTTTACCTACCATACACAAAGTCTCTCTATACTGTCTCCACTTGAAATTATTGAAAGTAGACTTTTCTGAATTACTTGGAATTTTTTGCATCGGAAAAAATTGCATCTGCCATGCATTTCTCTTTGGCTTTTCTCATTTTTCCAGTGTGTTCCACTGATGAATGCATCTTATAAAGGTCATGGCTGAGATCCTCTCAGAAGAAGAAATTGCTGGTCTAAAAGAAATGTTCAAGATGATCGACACAGATAATAGTGGGAACATAACTGTGGAGGAACTGAAGGTTGGCTTGGAAAAAGTTGGCGCAAATTTGAAGGATTCAGAAATTAATGGTCTTATGCAAGCAGTAAGTTCTAGTCCAGACTCTACATGGAGGCTGTGTTTCATATTTTTAATCTATTTTATCGTATAGAGAAACGTTAGTTCGAAATCTACAGCCTCTATCATGAAACTAATCCTCTTTTGGTATATGTGAAATATGGGAGATTGAAGCTATTTTCACGGACATCTCTCTTTGGTGAATCTTCTTCATATGAACTTTGGCGGCTACGGCTCATAGACATAACCATGTAGTAGGACTTGAAATGAAATGTCTTTACTCATTTACTACCTTTCAAGCAGTCGTCAGTTGATAAAAACATGCATATAGTACTAAAATCCGTCCCTGTTTTCCATTGGCACTTCTTTGTCGAAGTACATGTTTTAGACAATAGAACCTATAAAAGTAAGTTGATATTTGACTCTCTGTTCAAAGCCAGCCATGAGAAAAATCATCTTGTAAGAGTGACAAAGTAGTCATTATATTTATTCGGAACTTCATTTTGAAAATTTTGATTTGATAGACTTTGAGCATTTCTATGACATGAGGCTAAGATTACAAAGAAAACCTTTTGGCAGAGACTGTTAATGCTTCATCCTGTCTTTCCAAACCTGAGTGCCTTTCCATGACTCGTGATGCAGGCTGACATCGATAACAGCGGTACAATAGACTATGGCGAGTTCATAGCAGCAATGCTCCATCTAAACAAGATCCAGAGGGAAGATCATATGTACGCAGCTTTTTCCTACTTCGACACAGATGGGAGTGGGTACATCACCAAGGACGAGCTGCAGCAGGCTTGCGAGCGGTTCGGCCTAGATGATGTTCCCATAGAAGAGCTCATAAACCAGGTTGACCAAGACAATGTAAGACTTCTCTGCTCATATCTCTTCTCGCATTGCTTTTCATGAATACAGAAGTGGTCACACATCGTGTTTTTCCCAACCAGGATGGACGCATCGACTACAATGAGTTTGTGGCTATGATGCAAGACACTGTTTTCGGCATGAATGTAGCTAACAGCTAGAGTATTGCAAAGAAGTAAAGCTTCCACCACGTTAATACATGATCCGGGTAGGTGAAAAAGTAACGGTTAGAGGCCACTAATGTGCTAATTAGGTAGCGGTCTGCGAAGCATACTTCTGTAATTTGTATAGGTCAATCAAGTGTTAAAGAGAGGAGATAGAGTGTTAGAGTCTTTGCTATTTGTATTTATTACTCATTTTTCTGTTTTTGCCATAGGTGTCATCACTCTTTCCGTTTTATATTATTCCCATCTATGTGATTTGAAGTTTCCATTTTCACCTTATCAAGAATTTTTAGCTCAAATGGAAACTACGGAAAACAGAAGAGCTCCTCCTCAGTCTTACTTTGGATCCATCAGGTATGCAAAACATTACTTGGAATGGCAGCTTTATATAAGTTCCTGAACCTAGAGCTCAGAGATCAGTTGTAGTCCCATTACTTTATCACCGACACCGTCATCATGAAGACGGTAAATGATCTTTAGACACCATCTGCTGCATTCAAATTTCTTCAGCGCAGAAGTTGTATTTTGAAATGCAGCTGCCTCAGAACATAGTGGAGATTAAGAGGGATAGAAGGCAATGAAATGGCGATGTAATATGATATTACACTTGTTGATTCCATAGAGAAGACGTTTCAGCATCCCACACAAGATGCTATTTAGCTCTTCCACTCATAATTCACCGAGTGTGGATGCGATAACAGGGCCTCGCATAAGCAACCAGTCGCTAACTCGCTCATCTTACAGACTTAAAAGAATAGCCAAGGAATCTTCCTGATAACCTTCGAGACTGATTTTAGGGTCGGAACAGATTCTTGAGATACGGTCATGCTTCAGTTAGGATGGGATAAAGACAGTAGATGTCTAATCACGAGTTCCTCTCAGTACAATTTTTATTGGTATAATGCAAAGATCCTCTCACAATCTTAACGCAGTAGTTGAGAACTCCGCTACCATTTATGCTTATCAAAACTATGCATAATCAGTAGATTATAAAAAATTAATCTTAATTAGTGGAGTAAGACAACTTTTCACAATAGCAGATCTAGTGCATCTAATTCTGAATTCTGCCGATGCACAAAGATGTTGCAAAGACCACGGGGCTTCATTACGTACACTATCTGCGGCAAATTTTGATGGAAAAAAAAATTCTAATCCGATTGGTCTTTTGATGATGAATTCCTCAGTATGATCTCAGGCTAACGAACGCAACCAACCAAGTACACCAAGCAGGGCATTATCCAATATGGGTGACTTCTTCTCAAGCCCTGGAGAGAGAGAGAGAGAGAGGTTATGCTGAAGAACCGACATTGTAAAACAACTCAATCTCGAGACTCCAGAGCTAAACACAGCATAAATGGGCTCAGGAAATTCAGAAAATCTGCAGTAAGAAACCACACCGATAATGCTGTGTATAGATAGGCACAAGATTCTCCAGGTCTACAGGCGTTTATAACATTCTTTTATAGATGAATAAACCTATCTTCCATAATCTCATTCCAGCTTACCAATATCAGCAGCCACTCGATGAGCGCACATCACGCCAGAAAAGGCTACTGCAATGACACCTTGTCCTGGAAAGCAGCTGTCTCCCACACAGTAAAGGCTACCTATGCCCTGAAAATTTGCTTAATGATTAGCAACTTCGTGATTCTTAATAACTGGGAATACTAAATTTTGAGGTTCAGCGAAGGCTGACAACAAGTACTTACTGTTGTATTAAAAGGCATTCCCAACAAGCCTTTAGGAACGTTACGTGGCATTGGTCCATAAGTTCCTTCATCACGTGCCAAGTATCTCCGGTGCGTTTTGGGTGTCCCCACCTGGATTTAGAGAGAAAGCTCTCAAGAGACAGGACACAATATTTACATGAAAGTTTCTTTTGTCTCTGTAACCCATCTTCTTTACTTCCATTTTTCCACATCATCTCCTTGACATGATCAGGCTTTAGATTCAATCAATTCTCGTTGCAGTACAGGTACAATTTTTCTACAATGTGAACTAGCTCTCTCTAGGATAGACAAATGCAGTCAGCTGAATCATTTAGAAAATAGAACAAAAGTTGCACATTTGCTGTTCCCTCTTTTCCTAATAACCCCAAAATGCTCTCATTGCCATCAGTTTCTTAGCCTTTTGCAATAACTAATGTAAGTTTGACTATAATGAATGCAAGATTTTAGTCCAGTCTCTCCTACAGAAATTAGATGTACTATTATGGTACAGACTGAAGTGATCATGCAAATGGGCGACAACTTACTGACATGCTACTAAAGCCAGCAGAGTCTTGAGGGTATGCTCACAACAGTATTTTAAAGGAGATCAAATAGGAGTCATACCATTGACTTTGGTAAGAGGATTTGTTTAATGTATGAAATGCTCTGCCACTTTCACAATGACTACTTGTTTAAGGAGAATATCTTATCAAGCATTCTGTGTCAGCCTAAGACATTCTATCTGTCTTATTTACTGCAATCACATGCCAGAATACCCAACGATGGCATGGGAGGTCTTATAATTTATGCCATATTTATATATTTTTGATATATTTTCTGCATCTTTGTTATGACTATCATCTAATTGAGGATGTAAAGAAATGAATTTTCTGAATGACAGTAAATAAAAACATGAATGTCGCCCAAACCTCCATAAAGGCAATGGAAGATTCGAGTCCTGGAAATAGCTTCTTCTCTAATCTTCTTATGATTTCATCAGCCACAAGCTGCTTCTTTTCCTTGTATTCTTTTTGAGGGAGTCCCTGAAACGATTAGAAAACAGCATGTTTCCACTCATTGTTGCCACCAAATGAAACCCACTTTTCAGAGTGCCGATATCATGCATCAATGCCCAAAGCAAAGTACAAGAAGTATTCAACCAACCTGCCAATCTTCAATGGAAGAAGTTGTAAATATATGAAGAATATGGTGTCCTTCAGGAGCCAATGATGGGTCAAGGATGGTTGGAATGCTCAAAAATATACTGCCGTAAGGCTCCTCTAGTCTTGACCATTTATCCTACATAATTGAGAGAGACAGCATAGGAGGCGTTTTGGTTATATCTTCCTAGCCAAAAGCTCAGAGACCAGAATCAAGGACTAGAACACCAAACCTCAAGCACAAAATGATGGCAATCAGTATCCTGGGGCAAAACCTCGGCTTTGACCCCCATGTGGATGGAAAGAAATGATGGCGCTTTAACATAACGTGTCTGGAAGTCTCTTTCTTCTTTTGGCAGATTTTCTCTTTTTAAAAGCTTCCCTACGATGATATATATTGAGATTATCAGTGAGAGATATGTAAACCATCCTAACAAAGAAAATGCAAACAGGTTATGGTCAAAGCCGTAAAGACATTAAAATGCTTCCCCAAGAACTCACCAAATGTGTCCCATCTCGTGGCATTAGATATTATGGTCTTAGCGAAGAACTGCCTTCCATCTGACAGCCTGACTCCTACCTTCACGATTGGGTAATAGACATAAGCAAAAGATCTCCCATGGCCAAGCACAAAAGAGACATCGATTAATTAAGTGACGTCAACTCACAGCCTTTCCATTCTCAAGGATGATATTAGTCACGTTTGCCCTGTATTGTATATCACTGCCCTGTTCAACCAACCCATTTGCCAAGGACTTTGCAATTCCACCAACGCCACCAATAGGATAGTTAATACCCCCAAAATGCCGGTCACAAAGTACCTGGTGCATAACGGTACATGTGGAAGCAAGGCAACTTTGAGTGGTAGAAACGACAAACAGCCAATGAGAAGCCTTACCATGCTCGCATTTATCATTGGTGTCTGCAATGCATTAACTGTACTCACAATAAAACACTGCAAACAACGAAAGAGAATGATTCTTGAGATTCTTCAATCAGGTTGAAATTTGTTTAGCTATTAAAATGTTATAGCTTTTGATTAGGACAAAGGAAGGATGTTGCACCTCTGCATCAACGAAAGATAACAATTCCGGATCCTTTATGTACTTCCGAGCTATAGCTCCAGCATTCTGAGGGAGATAGTAGGCTGTCAAGGTAAAAAACACAAGTCCATTAACACACCAGTGACGGATCTATGCAACATGTAACTCGCTCATGTGATGTCCCCAACACCACCAAAGCAGGCATGCATAGAGCGAGAGAGAGCAAGGGCGTGGGGGGGTTGTGGTGGAGATTTCAACAAAAAGCGATTCAAAGATAGATAGAATGGATCTTCGATGCCCCATACAAGACGGTCCGAAATTGGAACATTAGTTGGTCGGAATTAACATAGTTGAAGTTGAAGAATTTTTTTCCTTCAAGTATAATATTTCTATATAAAGGTTTCTATTAGCCCATCAAAACTTAATGCCGGTTTCCTTATGATGAACTGCCCTCTTGGCCCCTTGCATTTTCTTCAGAAAAGCTCTTAGGATCTTAGACGGGACCAGAATTCCTTCAGTTACAAGAATGAGAACACTTACCAAGTGTCAAGCACTCGATAGGTTTCTGAAAGAACTGTCCGAAAAGGTATATTGGCTCCTCCAGTGACTTGAGTTCCAGCGAGTTTAAGGCATTGAAAATCTGCAAAATAAATAATATAAGGTCTGGATGTTCAGAGGCAGATGTGCTAAAACAAAATTAATCATCTTCATCAAGCTGAACCTTCCAACATATGCCATAGAACTTGAGAATCCCTTCCTTCTCGTGAGGAAATCTGCTGGTCAGTTCTCTAATGAAGTCACTATATTCCCTGTGCACTCGAACAGAAAGGTCATTGGGCAAATGGAAGTGGACTGTAGTTGGATCAGGTATAACTTCCATCTTGCAGCCCACAGCTGCTAGTGCTTGGGTTATCAGGTTTAGATTTCCCTGCTCAGATTCAAAGCTCTAATCAGCAAGAGCAGAGTATATTTACTTAATCAGTTAGAACCGGATAAGTCATGCAAGCAAAAAGGAAATGTCAACTATGTCAGTATTAGAGCTAACAAGTAAGTATATATGAACAAAAGCCCGCATTAGACCTAGAGGAAGAACACTTCTTCTCTCTTGAAAGCGGAGACAGAAATTCATGAGCAAACTCATCGAATTAAAAGTGATTCGATGCTGCAACTACTCTCCCATTGACAAGCAACATTCTTCCACAAGGCATCACTCATTCAATCAACCCAATCTACGCCCCCCCACGAGTGCGGAACTCAAATTGCGATACGGGAAGGAGTTGGTGAACTCTTTTTATTTCAGAAGAACATCTACGATCAGAACTCAAGATGAAATAGAAAAGAAGATGCAAATGGAAAAAAAAAGCAAA